ACAGAAACTATTATTATTATTATTATTATTGCTATTATTATTATTATTATTATTATTATTATTATTATTTTCATGTCCATGTTGCACATAAGAACGAACTTCAACCTCTGAGGATGCTGACTTTTTGGATATGTGGTTTACCCTCAGTCTTTTAAGCACAGGGTGATGTAAATGGCCCAAAAAAAGTATATTTTGCACCTTTTTAAATGTTTTATTTTTTTTAAGTCAATAATAGTGAGTTTCCAACGAGCCTTTGAAGGCAATAAAAATTAGCTGATTAGAGCTGAGAAAATCTGCAAGCAACATTTCTCATTTCAAATTGCAAAATCAGCAATGGAAGGAGTCTGTTTTAGTTTCCGTCTGAAAACAAAATGCATATGTGAAGGAATAGAGAGCGTGATCGTAACTGCTTACAGAATACACTTAGAGCACCTTTGTCTGTGTTTTTTTTTTTTGTTTGTTTGTTTGTTTTGTTTGGGCTTTTTTATTCATTCACGTTTTAACGGATGACACAGACATTGTCAGGCGTTCAATGTCGTGCAGTTGCACAAAATCTTTACTAAAACTTTTTGGCAAAATTCTGCTTTTAATATCTGAACAAAGACTTAATTGTGATTCTGAATCTGACCAGAGGTTCAGTTCCAGCTGTTTGCTGCTTGGTGCCACAGAGAACAAGGTTAGATACGCAGCACTAATATCCCACCCATCAGCATTAAAGGGTTTCCTGCCTGTTCTCACTGCAGCTCATAAACATCCAGGTCAATGTTCAAGTTGAGCATTGGCCCCAACTGGCACAAAGGGGTGTTACATCACATCCTGAGTATTGGTAAATGATCTTTGAACCTTGCGGTGCTTACAGGAGATGTGAAGGTAGAAATATGCACAGAATGCAACAAAGCCTCAGAGGACTCTGTGAGCAGCTCTGGCTGTCAGTGTATTTGTATTTGTGTCATGGACTGAAAGCTGTGTCATTGTAATCCATCTGGACACGCAGCAGCTCAGCTGTGATACTGTTAAACATATGGGCACATACAACTGAGAGCTGCCAGCTTCTAGTGAGGCTTATTCAGTATCTGCAATTATCAGTTAACACTTATCTGAATCAGGCTAGACTCATTCTCAGCTGATGAAACTGTTTTGCATTTAGATTTTTAGAGTGAACTTACATGCTCAACACTAACAGTACAAGGATCTTACAGTGCAGTCATTTAACAGTGAATCCAAGCAGTCAAAATCTTAAGGGAGGTCTAGAGCATGAGGTTTTTTCAAGGAATTTGAGTTTTTGTTCTGGTGCCTAAAGTTACAAGCCATAAACGTCATCCACTGATAAGGACTGTGAGTTGCAGTTGAAAGCAGAGCTGGATTCATAAATCAGCCAGGCCATATATTAGCTAACTGCAGATTAATAACGTCACAGGAAACAATTCATCAGTTCTAAGTCAATGTCGAAATTCTAAAAACATGAAGTTAGTTTTTCTGTATTTACTAAAAATACAATAGAAGCTGTATGTGACGGAGATACATGACAATAATAACAACACAGGAAAGGTGTCTGCAAGTGCAGCTGCAGAAACAGGTCTGCTGAGACCTATGGCTAAAAAAAACATATACCAACAGTAGAGTAGGGAAATATTTTACCTTTGAGTAAGGTGATCAAATTATAGAAACCTTAAACCTTAAAAGTGTGTCACTGGACACTTAAAATAAAAGGAGGAAACACTTCAAGCACCTCAAACTTATGTAAGCAGCTCCAAGACATTCAGATCTGTACACAGAATTTAACGTGAGAGTGTTTCAATCGTTTCATAAACAACATTTCATAGAAACATTCAGATCTCATATTATTACTGCTATTCTTGCTGCAATCAGTAGCTACTGTTATTACTATTTAGTCTGCACAAATATAATGTTGTGTATATGTATATTATTTTGTTTTACTGATTTGTTTGGCATTGAGAATCATGTACTTTATATTGTTGCAAGGTACTACAGTTCTGATATTAGTAGATATTATGATTAGGTTTGAGGTGCATTATCCAAATGAAAGGTGAACATAGTCCTTATTATATCCTTATTATTATCCTTGTTGTCTTTTTGTAGTTCTTTTTTGTTTCCTTCTGTGCTTCATGGCTGCTGCTGGAACATGTGAATTTCCCCAGCATGAGGATCAATAAAGTTTATCTTATCTTTAGAAACAGTCTCTCCATTACATAGTTTGCCCACCAGAGAGCACTGGCAAGCTTATGTTTACAGTAAAAAAAAAAAGAAAAGGTATATTGATCACAAACAATAAATAAATAAATAAATATAAGAGACAACATAAAGATTTGCATATCCTTCTGTTAGTCCCAGGCAAGTGCTTATTTCACCAATAGGATGAGAGCACATTTTTAAGACAGTGCTACTAAGTTGTATAACTAGAAGCATATGTGTGACTTAAAAATGGGCTCTTTTATTTATTTATTTATTTTTAAATTGCCATTCATCAGGAGGGAGTGAAAAGTGGTGTGTGACAAAGAGAGACGGAAAGGGAGTTAACACGATTCTCATGTCATCATGACAATTAGGGATGGGAACAATTCTCACACAGGATGTCATCTGCTTTTGTCCGATATGTGTCAAGTTAATTTTCACTTCACCCTTTAGTAATAAACAATTAACTATCATTCAGACCCTCCTGAGCCATTACAGTCCCAAATCTCTGATGAGGACAATTCAGCTGTTGATCTTGTATTGAAAAAGCAAAGAGAGACTCTTACGAACAGGACTGGCTCATGCAGTTTCTATCGCTGAGATTTTGAAAAGAAAGGAACACCTTGTATTGTATGTGCTGTCCTTAGAGTTGCCCAACATTTACGGAGAAAACTAAATTTGCAGGAACATGAAACACACATAAAGCACAACAAGAGTATGCGGCATAAACTATGCAGAGACAGATGCACTGATGGCATCGAAGCACCTCAAACTTTTTTCTTGAAGTTCTACTTCACTTCACTGTGACTTTTTTCTTTAAAACAAAATGGCAAATTTTAATTTCTGTGCAATAACTTTTTATTTCTGAAGTATTTACCTGTAATACAGTTAAGATGGAAACAATATAAAAGTGTTATCTCGGCTGTTGATTTAAGTGGGCCTCCAAAACTCTGTGCTCGTAAAATTTTCAGTACACAGCGGTAGTCCAACTACTGGAAAAGTTAGTGCGGAGCCCTGCAGGGATGGTCTGTCTACCTCAAAGCACGTGAATGGGGTTGAATAATTGATTTAGGAGATGCAGATAACCCACAGGCCAAACATGTCGCTCTATTTACTTAACTAGCATTTCTGACTGACAAAAATGATAAAGTCTCCCCTAAAAAAAAAAAAAAAATCAACTAGAGATTAACTGTCCCTCGTATTTTCACTGGGCCACATCCATGACTCACACAATCAGAGACACAATGGACGTAAAATGACACCCAGAAGAAACAGACGTAGAGGCCACAGGAAAGATAAAGACAGCGAGTTGAATTGGGCCAACCAGTTGGTTCTGACCCTCTGACTACTTTGAGGAACACGATCAGCAAGTCAGCAGCAAGTCACTGGAGGTCAGTTTGTTTCCAAAAGAACCGAGTGACCCAGGAAAATGAGCTGCTGTGCGACAAGCCTGTTGGACAAGAAATTTTGGCCACAGCTGAGCTTTCAGCACCTATCACATTTCCCTGTTTGGTTGCTTTCACTGTAGTTCACTTTAGATGGTTCTGACTGAGGGAGGATATGATCCATTGCTGCTTTTTGGCTCTGGTTCTATCCACATGCACATTTACTTACTATAAACTAACTATCCCCCAGTATTATTACTATATGGAGTCACGCAGCACTGATTTGCCATATAAGTCATCTAATCTTTGATTGAGCCTCAATATCTCAGGAATTGTTACAGATGAAAGTCTGATATTTCCAGTTATTTCTCATCATGACACTGAATCAGAATCTGCAAAATTGGATGAGTAGCTCAAATAGTCTGTGACTATGGGTCTCTGATTATTTTCTTAGAAATAGATATAAGATGCTATTTAAAATATATATTGTTTTGGATGTTAAAAAAAAAAGTTTCAAGCAAATCAGGAATGGTTGAGCAGAACGCCCCTGAACATTTGACAAGTAACCCTTGTACCTTTATTTAACCCTTCATGTGTCAAAAAGAGATGAAAGAAATAAGTAACTATTAGTTAAGACTGCAACTACAGGAAGTAACATGACAATATAGAACTGTCAGAAAGGTACTGTGAGGTCGCTGTATTTCCACGCATTTGACTCGCTGATATATCAGGGAAAATACATCTACTGTCCTTAGACCACACCCCTCAAACTGGAGCAGAAAGAAATAGTATAAATATGCAGATTGAATCTACTTAAAAAGTGTGTCTTGGTTTTCACATCAGCTTAAATGAACTAAATGAAATGCACAAACTTAGCAGAGTTGGTTTGAAGAAAGTATTCCATCTGTTCCATCTGTTGAGCACAGATGGACAAGAAGTTGGTTTCCAACAGCAAATTCAGCCAGTAGTTATTAACATACTCTGTTTAGGTCCAATTTAGCAAGAAATGAATAGTCTAATAATGAATCTGCAATTATTTTAATAATCTGTCCACATTTTTAAGTCATTTTTCAAGCAACAAAAGTCTACAACGATACCAGCAGCCATAACATATAGTGCAAACTGAAATTTCCGCCTGATGACCAAACCAGACTAAATGCTAAAAGCCACATTGCTAGCATCTCCAAATGTGATGCTTTTTTTTGTCCAAAATATTTGCAAATTATACACCTTTGGGACACTGATCAAAAACCAGCCAATTGCAGATGTAACAGTGTGCTTTAGAAAACTGTGAGGATAATTTGCCAGGAAAATAATCAGCCAATAATAAAAAATAATAATCATTAGTTTGGCAAAAAGACTAATTATGGACAAAGTGCATGTTCAATAGTTGTCACAAGCACCAACTGTCCACTCACTCACCTTGGTCACTGCTACCTTTGCGCCTTTGTTGATAAGCTGGACCACATTGTCAGCTTGTCCCTTGTGTGAAGCTATGAGGAGGCGCTCGGAGAGTGCGAGGACCTCAGCCGCATCCTGCTGGCTCATGAAGCAGGGCAAGTGATGCTGCCGTCTCCAGACACGGTGCTCCAGATGGCGGGGAAGGCAGCTGTGGCGATGCTCTGCGATGCCTTCTAACTCATGTTGAGCTCCACTGCAGACGGAGGTGTCAAACAGGAGCTAAAGAGGTTGCCAGTGCTGCTGATTCCGCTGTTGCTACAAATTCCACAAACTGCCAGGATTCCTCCCCTTCATCCTCTCGGCTGCTGGGAAGAGAACAGGAAACACATGGAGTGAAAACAAGTCACCATGTGCTTCACTCGTAGTAGCCTGACAAACAGGAAAACAGGAGGGGAACAGGCAGAGTGGACTGACATCACTACTGTCCAGGTTGCTAAACCCATGTACAGTTCTCATGGGATCATGTGAGCGGCGCAGAAATAATCCGTGGTAAGAGCCGATGAGAGGGGTTGGATTTGGTCACTGATTGTCTGTTGTACTGTGAAGCAATCGCCTCACACACAGAGACTATAAAAAATAGCAAGAACACCGTCAGAACTAGCTAAAACAGCACAGACACACATCTGTGGTTTAATGAGTTCTTCTGTGACACACGTCTGCGGTTTTGGTCTAACCGCACGAAAAAGACTGCTGTGCCTCAAGTGTCTTATCTGGTTTCTCAGTATCATTACAATAAATCGTCTGACAGACATCGAGCTGGCATACGTTATCTCTGTCTGTACAAGCTCACGGGAATACATTCCTGCCTAATTAAGCAAATTTGTAAAAACACGAAATTCACAGCTTTGGAGTCACAGTTTAGTAGGTTTTTGGGACAGAAGAAAACAAGAAAATTGCATAAATTAATACTGTTGTCATTTGTACTTAAAAACCTAAAACATCCAAAGTAAAACTGGCCATAATTCTTACTAAAATGATCAAGGCACTCAAATGATGCAGTTAGAGTCTGACTTGTTTACTCTCAACTGCAAAACAAAGACAAGTGCAACACAAAGCCAGCAGTGCAGTTTTAGCTTTAAAACTGTATAAAGCAACAGTGACTTTTTCTCAACAAAATGCACCTATCGTATGTAATATGAATAAACTTTATTGGAACCATGGTTTGATAAACATGAGTTCAGTTTGTGGTCCACACGACGGCCAGTCCATTCTCACGTACCGCAGGTTCTGGCTTCAGGAAAGCCGATTAAAACGTGTAGTGTCAATTATATACCATAAATGTTCACAAAAACTTGCACAGTGACTGCCCAACTTTAAAGGTCAACACTGACAGCATGTTATAGCTAATAGACTATGAGTATATTGACAACTGGTGCACTTGCAAAACACTGTGGGTAGAACTCGCAGGGTGGACCGAATTAAATATGTCTCATCCCAAACTAAACATTGCATAACAGACAGCTCGGGGATGTAGTTAGATACTGAAAATAAACCAAGAGGAGGTTGTTGAGCTGTGTAAAGATTTACAATTCACAGCTTGAGTGGTAACTTTATAGTTGGTTTCCTTTCATTTTCTATTTCAAATAAGTCTGACTAAAGTGGAATAGTGTTTTGTAACCTGTCTGATCGTGTACTTGTGTGTTTTTTGCCTCTCATAGACTCATTCCTAGCAGTGGTGTAAGAAATGTTTTACTTTTTATTTCACAAATTTATCTGGCAGCTTTAGTCACTACTTTATTTACAGATTAAGAAGGGCACAGAGTGCTCAGAAAATAAGATACATGGTTACAGACTAAACCAGCCAACATTAAAATCAGTTCCACCTCAACCAGCTGCAACACTCAGATGCTGCCTCTGCATAACAATACAACACATGACGGCACTGGCTCAGGTGGTATAGTGGTTTCATCCACTGACAGCACGATTGGTGGTTTGATCTCAGTCCCCTCCACATACTAAAAGGGACCTTGAGCAACTGAACTTGAAGTTACTCTTAATCTCAGGCAAACACCTTTTACGTCAGCCACTGGGTGAATGAGGCACACTGTAAAGAGCTTTGAGTGCTGTTAAGGTAGAAAAGCACCATATAATCGCAGACCATTTACCATCTTACAGCAAGTACAGAAGGTCATTGTTGTGAATAATGAGCAGCCAGCTTTTGACCAGTACATTTTGCGGACATTTATAATGCATCACTTTGCTTCCTCGACCACAGATCACTGAAACCCTTTTATGTTCTCCCTCGAGCTTCTCACTGTCATCAACGTCAGTTCAGTTCTTATGACTGTAAACATGAATCAGTTCAAACAAAAGATTACTTTGAATTTCAAACAAATCCCAAAGAAAGTGCTGAGTGAGATTTGTTGGTATTTTTTCCATCACTGCTGCCTCTGATTAAGTCTCAATATGTTTATCTATATACACTGGCAGATGGCAGTTTTAACAAGAAGATAGAGAAGTCTGTCAACTATGGAGTGTTGTAAATAGTTTCAGTCTGAATAAGTGAGCTTCCCTCACATCATTTCTATTGCCAGTTATCAATCCAGCGTTACACAGTAGGCAGGTAATGATATGAGTGAAAACAGATGCTCTAAGCATGTCCTGACACGAGGACTTTGTGATTAAAAGCGCCTCTATTACATGTTATTTGTGCTGTGCTCTCAATTATACGAGTATTACAGGATTTTATTCCATTGTAAACTCTGTATTCTGATGGAAAACTATATTTTGTGACCCATGAGGTGTTTATTAGCTGCTTAATCAGAGCTGCAACCAGGATAATCCAAGCTCACGAAGCTCCACACAAGCAAAACATGACTCTACAGCGGGGCAGAGTGCACACAGAAGACGGAGTCACTCCTAAATTGTTGAGTTTGAGGTTAGGATTTCCACAGAGCGTCTCAGCTCTTTGAAGAGCTGAATACACAACAGAACAACCAGCTCTATCTGACAGCTAAACATCTAACACACTTGATGAGGCTTTAACATGTCTTATCAAAGACTGTCAACACAGTAACTATAAAAAGAGCAGAAACTCCCTTGGACTTTTTAATGTTTCATTTTGTAAACATGCTGTATCACAATGGATGTCATGGGAATTTTGTGATTCAGTTTTTAAGGGATTTTAGATCACTTTGTAAAGATTATTTTTCAGTATTTGGTGTTTAAAAAAAAATTCTATCGACTAAAATTCCTTCACACTTCTGGTTTTTTTTTAAATTTCCCACAATTTTACATGTGCATTAATGTATTAATGTGGTGTTCTGATGGGGTGGTACTCCTCATTAGAACAGAGGAGACAAGTAGCTGCACAGATGCACTGCTTTCAATTTCTTTACCATGAGGCTTTTTCATCATCGCTCACAGCAGGCTTCCTCTCTCTCTCTCTCCATCTACAGTCAAGATTCACACATTTCATAGTTCACACAATAATTATCCTTATGTAACTGGATTACTGTTAAATCATTACTATTAAGGGATTCCTACATGTGCCTCTGCAGATGCTCCCTAGAAAGGTGAACGCCTTTATGCCTTCATAAACCACTGCCTTAGAAGATTCCTCCACATCAGCTGGTCAGACAAGAGCAGCAACACCGATCTCTGGCAAAAGACCCACCTACAATCTGCTGAACACGAAATTAAGGCGGTATTGGGCATACGCTCCATAAACTGTCATCAAGCGGCACCAGACAGGCCCTCACATGGAAACCCCAAGGGAACCAGAGGAGAGGCCAGCATAGAAACACCTGGTGCAGGAACCTACAAGCAGACACCAAAGAGACAGGCTTCACCTGGAACCAGCTGGGGACACTTGCACAGGATGAGGAGCAGTGGAGCACCTTCAGTGGCCTTTATTCAAGGAGAAACAACAGGCCTGAGAGAAGAAAGCACTCTGCTCCCCTCTGTGAACCACAGTGGGACTGCATGACAATTTTTAAACCAGTGGCTCCCAATTTCACAAAATACCAAAATGCCTGTCCTGAAAAAAGTTGGTAACCCTGAGTCATTTGGGCTTCACCCACACCAATACATCTTAGTACTAAAATGCTTAATTTTTTGCAACACTGTCACAGATGTTTTTTGTTTGTTTGTTTGTTTTTAAACAATTAACTGCTGTTTTACTATTTTTCCTTTCTGTTTTGCTAGTTAAAATATTCAATCATAAAATTATACAATTTTCTTCACTGTATTTAAATCATCAAAAAATATCATTTTACAGATATACAGTTATTTGAAAGAAAAATTATGTACATAAAATATTGAAAAATGGTAAAATATTTTTTTGAATAGTAAATTCGAAAAATTTTCCAGTTTTGTTAAATGACAGATACTATCTACAAAACTCAGAGAAAACAAGTATTAATTTATATGTTGCGTGAAAACAACTACACACCCACATCAAAAATCTGCACTTTCACAAATTGTTCTTTCACAATGCGTGACCACAGAATTAAACTGTTTTAATGTATTTAAATCAGCTAACAATATCATTATTTTACAAAAAAAATGCTGTAAATCTCAATTTTTTCCCCAGTTTTTGAACATCACAGTCAAATATTTTTTCAACATACTTTTTCTTGCACCTTTGACTGCCAGATTTTTACTGAATATTTTTTTTACAATTTACATTTACAATTAACTTCCACACTACTGAAGCATTTTAGGAGCATTCAAATGGAGACTTTTGTACTAAAATGGAGACTTTTGCAAACATCATTGACCCTGTTTTAGTTTATGAAGTCTGGGATTGCATTTTGGAAAGACAGAAATGGGGACTTTTAGAAACTATCACACAGTCACCCATGTTTGCTCTCTGATTGGGTCTATGCTGATCTATGTGTACATCGCTCCCCTATTAAGTGACCCTAAAAATTAAACAGACATCAGCCTTGAACTGTTAAACTACCGCGGAGAACCTCATTATAGGCATTGCTTACCTTGTTGGCTATGCTAGTAGCTGGTGTAGAGTTACGAAAATTTCCTTGCTGTTTTCCCATCGTAGTATTTTCTACAACTAAGTAACCAACTTGCTGTTTGATGCATCTGAATGGACAAGTGACATGTGTTTCAGGTGTGTTAGTATGCATTGAGATAATTTCTGAAATGCTGCTGTTGCCTTTGGACAGAGATCATATTAGATTTTTCAGTGCCGTTTTAAAATGAAAGCATATTAGTGTGGAT